TCTGTGATTCTGTGATTCTGTGATCTGTCATTTATGTAACATTTTCTCTCCAGATTTTTCTCAGCTGAGCATTTTCTTTTAAGTTTTCTTGTGGTAGTATTCGAGGCTCACAGAGAGTAACTTGTAGTGCAGGACGAGAAGTTGGTTTACATGATCATTCAGAGATCCAGTGAGGTTAAGACAGCTTCTTGTCCTAGACCAGCAGTGCCTTTGTTGAAAAGTAGCTGACAATAGCAGAGCCATTGGTTGACTTAAAAACTGCAGTGCAATTGCTATAGTTGTCTGCATTATTTCTTTCTGGTGAAGGCAGTTAAGCGGTGTCTTTAAAATAGCGGTTACCTTATGGCTGGCCAAGAGCCAAAGCCAACAGCTATAAAACTATGTGTGGCGATTGTACCGGACAGCAAAATTACCGCATAATTACCACCTCAGCTCAGTAAATTTTTAGATTATTAAAATCATGATAAAAAGCATGAAATATGTTTTGTTTTCTTTTTCTTATGGCTTTGTGGAAAGGAATATTTAACTATGATGGGAGGAGATTCTGTGGGTGGAATAAAGTGGAAATATTTTAAATACCATTCATTGCAAATTAAGTTTAAATGTCAGTGAAAAATCCATGGTTCATCTTAGACCACTGTCAACTTTCTGCAATATTAATGTGCTTTTATTTTCTTCAGTGGAGGTTCTCCTGAGGTGTTAAACAAACATCATCCTGAAGACCCTATTTGCACTACTTGAATCCTGGCTAAAATCTGTTACTTTTGTAATGAACTTATTAATTGAAACAAATAGGAAAACAAATATTAGAGATAAGTGCCGACATTGTCTAGTGACAGATCATTCTGTGATACCTGGTTATCAGCCAGTCAATGAAACTGCACTCAGTAGCCACAGGCGACGAAACAGAAGAGTAGAGATTTGGCCTCTAAGGCTATGGAGTCACTACCTCCTATGAGTTCATTAACATGCTAATAAATCTGTTTCTTGTTTTCTCCCCCTCCTGCAGTGAACATTTGTCATGTGCCTTCACATTCTTTCTTCATGGGGAAAGCAATGTGTGCACAAGTGTGGAGATTGCTCAACACCAGCCAATCTACCTGATCAACGAGGAGCATATCCATATGGCCCAGTCCTCGCCGTCGCCCTTCCAAGGTGAGTGTGCCGTATCCAGAATGTCGTGTGCTCACCCTCGCCTCTGAGCAGGGACTTTGCTCCTGCTGATGTTGTCTGCAGAGGTGAATAACGTAAGATTAAGTAACTCTGCAAACGGGTTAAATTTCTCTTCGGGAAGTTATGGGTGTAAAGGAAAATGTTGTTAGGACTTCAACACTATAGCCAGCTATAAATGGTACAGGATTTTTCTAGAACTTTCTATTCATTAATATTAGTTTTAAAGGTACATGCATATAGTAAATAAAACAAAGAAATTAATCACTTTTTGTTTGAAAAGAATTGTTATTTCAGAAAATGAGTGAACTGATTTGATTTTCTTACATGGTATCTAGGTCAGTGGGCTCAAATCTTCAGTGTGAATACAGATACTGAGCTTGTCTAATTCAGGAGTACTTTCATTCTTAGAATGTCAACTTTTTTTTTTTTTTAGAGGGGGTGTGTGTGAAAATTTATAATTTAAAGTATCTGTGACTGTTTATTTGCCAGTGTAAGAAATTAGGGTTTTACAGAATTAAGTTAATGGCTTTTTTAATGCTGAGAAGTCTCTAGTACTATGTGTTTCTCGTAAAAACCTTATTATTGCATATCTGTCATTAATTACTTCCATGTATGGCCATCCCTTTGCCATAGAGAGTGCTGTTTTGGTACACTTATATTAGTTCGTTGTGCAGAGTATTAAACTGAACTGCAAGAATGTCCATTTTGAGCTCAGTACGGACGTCTGCACAGGAAGCCAGTGCAGTGTAACATGGCTTGAAATTCACAGCCTTACCTGATCTTGCAGTAGCTTCCTGTGAAGACTGATCCTTAAGTGAGCATGCACTCAAGCTAGACAGGCAGAGCCTGGCTGATGGATCGTTGAGATATACGTACTGTAGGGACTATTGTTTCTTACTTTGCAGTTTTGGTGAGTCCTTATGGTTTAAACGGTACACTCACGGGCCAGTCGTATAAGATGTCAGACCCAGCGACTCGGAAATTGATGGAGGAATGGCAGTATTTTTACCCTATGGTGCTGAAGAAAAAAGAAGGGATGAAAGAGGAAGAAGAGCTGGGTTACGACAATGATTTCCCTGTGGCAGTTGAAGTCATTGTTGGTAAGTTTCAGTATTCTGCCTGAAGGATTATTTTGCTCCACGTGATTTAAAAAAAAAAAAATCTAATTAATCAGGAACAGCCATTATAATTTTCCTGTCTTCTCTTGTAGCTCTCTTGACACTGGAACATCTGACTAGTTATCTTGCCTCAAGCTTCTGTACTCCCTGTATCCCACATGCTATTATTCACAGTATCAAGCTACTTGTTTCAGCTCCGTACTTGTTATAGAGGTTTAGATGTGTATTAGTATGTGAAATTCGTTACCTCTTTGTATTTCGGATAATAAGTTTTGTCTAATTGACTTTGAAAATGAGTTGAAGTATTATAAGAATATTATAAGGTACAGTTAAGAATTTGTTTTTCCATTTCTTTGTAGGTGGTGTAAGGATGGTATATCCTTCAGCCTTTGTTCTCATCTCCCAGAGTGACATCCCCGTGTCACAGAACACTGCCAATACTGGAGGCCATATAAATGTGGGACAGCAGGGGCTCGGAAGTGTGAAAGATCCTGCTAGTACCTGTGGAATGCCACTCACTCCACCCACCTCTCCAGAGCAAGCAGTCATGGGTAAGCAATAAACCTGGGAGGCTGGAGCCAGGCTTTCACTGTCATATAGCTCATGGTAAGAGAAGGTAAGTATGTGAACAACAGCAGATTAAAGACAGGCAGTAGACTGGAAGTTAGGGGAGGACTTTTTCTGCAGGTCTGTGGTAAATGAAAGCCAATGCTTTAAACACCCCTGAAGAAGACACATCTTTAAACAAAACTCTGTGAATTCAGTTAAGCTCCATTTTCTGTAACTGCATTATCTTTGTGCAGTAGTGCAGGTACCTGAGAGACTAGATTCTGACAGTGGTTTAGGCAGATTTTGCCAGTGTTTATGAAGTGTTGGTGTTCTTGTGTTGGCATGGGAGGAGGGTGTTGATTCGTTGTGGTCCAAGAGTACAGTGATCATAGAGGACTATGTTGCTCTTTTTGTAAAAAGCTAGAAATGCAGCATTTTACTAAGCATTTGTTTTGATGTAATAAAAATTGCCAAATGATAGTTACTCTTTTTTGCCCAACACAGCTGGGTTTTAATTAAGGGCCATTCAAAAGAAATGCATGAGCCCCTGGAACTGGTAAGAGGGAGCTGGCCTTCCCAAATGAGGTCTGACATTAGGCTTGCATCATAGGCTGATGGCAAACAAGGGTGCGTAATACCTGCAAGCAAGTTATGTGTTTTGTCTGGATGGAGTATGCCCCTTTCAAGCATTTGGATCCATAGTAGTTATGATCTCATAAGCCATCCAAATGCTTGGTATGCGGGGTACTAGATCACAGAATCACAGAATCGCTCGGTTGGAAAAGACCTTCAAGATCATCATGTCAAACTGCTCCTGTCTACCCACTAA